GAGTTAACAATAACAGCCACGCTGTCAAGCTTAAATAGCGGCGGATAAGTGCAGCTGATAGTAGTAGGTTGAAGAAGGAAATGGATTAGCAACAAAAGCTTACGGGGTGTGCATAGCTCAGTGGTTAGCGCTTCTGACTTAGTACATCGATGACGCGGGTTGGATCCCTGAGAAAAGTGTGAAAAAAAAGAAGTCTGATGAGGAGATGTGGTGATCTCCGAAATAGCTGCTATAACTTCTACCGCTTAGGCAATGGCGCATATTCATAGTCATATTTAGTACTCAACTAAGTCGAAACTATTCTAAGTCACAACTAAAGCTATTCATAGTCGCCTTAGTTTCGACTTTTCTGGCTAAGTACCAACTTAAAATTTAGTTTCGGCTGCAGCTGCAACTAAGTCGTAACTAGGAAGAAGTATTTTATCAAATTAAGGGAAAACAGACGAAATATGTAAAAATTAAGTTGGTAGAGGGTGATTTTGATAATATTGAATAATCTCCAATTAAAATTTACAAAGATCGATCCATTTTAATCGGAAGATGAAACTAAATGCGTATTACAATTCGAATAAAGCTACATCACAATTTTATAATTGGAATAATTTAGATAAATTCTCAAATAATAAGTCAGTTTCACGCTAGTTCTTTTAAAGTAAATTTGTGCATAACATTTAGATATCTACTATTTGTATGTTTCACAGCATGCTTTCGATAAACATCGACTTCACATCACTGCGGTTGTTCTGGCTATTTCACACAATTAACAAGAAAATGATACCTTATTCTTTTGCATAATCATGCAATGAAAATAAAAATTACATAAACGGATGATCAAACTTGATATTATTTAATAAAAATGTAATTTTTCCAAAATATCGTAAAGAAAAATCAATACAGTTTCACACTCGTTTTGCTATATCGTAAACTAAGTCGAAACTACTTAGTAGAAGTCTGAAATGCGACTATGAATAGAGGTAAATTTTAAGTTGGTACTTAAATTTAAGTTGCAACTTTATTAGTTTCGACTTAGTTGCTGGACTATGAATACGCGCCAATGTTGTTTTTCAATTTTTCCTAAAAAAGAAATCGTGGTACAAAGCTCAATAACACTATTAATTCTCTTTAATTTGATGTACATTCCCGATTCCCCCGATTCTGAGCACTTGAAAAATTGAAAATCTTTATCATTTATCAATTTTTTATTATTTATCAAGAATTGGTATTCTACCACAGATATCAAATGCTCTTTTCTTGATAAATTATCAAGATTGAAAATGCTATTGACAAATTGAAATTTCATGTGAAACGTAGAAATTTCGTATGCTCTCATAGGCGGACGCTCTAATAAGCGGACATCTCCTATAAGCGGACACATTCTTGGGAACGCACGATTTTTGGTGTTTTCCCATACAAAATGTTATCCCATACACGGACTTTCCGATAAACGGACACGGACACTCAAACATGTCTCTTTATAAAAAAAGATCTCCCATAAGCGGACGCGAAGCTGTAATAAGCGGTAAATTAAAATTTTTTCTTTAGTCTGATGTTGACTCTTGCGCATGTACATATGTATATGTACTCAAGTACATACGTCCATATCCAAAGATGTTTTTTTTTTCTAGAAAAAATTTGGCCTTTTCATTGCCCTCTTCTTGCTGCTTGAGCGAGGCTGGCAATGAGATTTGTCGGTAGAAAAGAGAACGTCATAAATTTGAATTTATTTACCATTCATTCTGTTTATATCCATTCAAGGATAAGCAATATTTCGTTTAGAAACCTGCAATTTAAATTTTAAAAAATCTCCCATAGGCGTACAAAATGTAGGTGACCATCGGTGTCCGCTTATGGGAGCTTTCACTGTATTAATACATTTGGTCCTAACAATTAAATACTCAATGTGCCGGCATTTTAACCTGCGACACACGGAATTATAGTCGACATCTCTACCTACTCGGATACGGCAGTCAAAAGCTATTTTGCTTTTAAATTCATATTTTTCATATGTAACAATGAAATCAGTTCCACTCATACTCATGTGGAAATCAGTTCCCCTCATGTGGAAATCGTAGAGCTTTTTGTTTTTTAAGTATTGACAGAATGCGAAGCTTTTACTTGATAAAAATCTTGATAAAAATTCTTTACAAAAAATTTATCAAGAAAACACAGAATTGGGTGGTATATAGTAGTAGTAAAAAACAAATTAATGCAAAAAATATATATAAAAAAAAATTTTAAGAGAGGCTGAACACCTTTTGCAGAGAACACTTTTCTGCGTAGGCGGCATTCGGCCCTACTTGGGGATTATAACCCTTACTAAGTAGAATTCCCCTTTCTGTGTTGCCGTAGAAGAGGGGCAGAACACTTTTTCCAGAGAACGCCTTTCTGCGTAGGCGGCCTTCAGCCGCGCCTAGGGGTTATAACCCTCACTTTGTAGAATTATCCTTTCTGTGTTGCCGAAGAAGAGGGGCTGAACACCTTTTGCAGAGAACACTTTTTTGCGTAGCCGGCCTTCGTCCGCGCTTAGGGATTACAGCCCTCACTAAGTAGAATCCTCCTTCCTGTGTTGCCCAAGAAGAGGGGCTGAACACCTTTTGCAAAGAACACTTTTCTGTGTAGGCGGCCTTCGGCCGCGCCTAAGGATTATAACCCTCACTAACTAGGACTCTCCTTTCTCTGTTGCGAGGGGCTGAAAGTCTTTTGCAGAGAACACTTTTCTGCTTAGCGGCATTCGGACTTACTTGGGGATTATAATCCTCACTAAGCAGAATTCCCCTTTCTGTGTTTTCGTAGAAGAGGGGCAGAACACCTTTTCCAGAGAACAACTTTATGCGCAGGCAGCCTTCGGCCTCGCTTATGGATTATAACCCTCACTAAGGCCCAATTTCAGATGGCCTATTTAAGTTCAGATTGTTGAATAACTTCCAATATTGGCTATTTAAATATTAGATATGCAACCCTGTGTTTGTACCAAACAACCAAGATTGATTGGTAGGTTGTTTAATCAATCCCACCTAAAAACAATCAGCTGTTCAGCACAAAATGTAAACAAACAAGCAAATGCCACAACAACTTCAAGGAAAAAGCAGCAATGCTATCATTTGTTTTGTATATTTAATCAAAGTTGATCTCAAATCCGACGAAAGTTAAATTGAATTTAAACAACAACAATCCACAATTAAACTTAAGTGTCATTTAAATATTCATTTGAAATTGGCCCTAAGTAGAATTCCCCTTTTCTGTGTTGCCGGAGAAGAGAGACTGAACACATTTTTCAGATAACACCTTTCTGATTAGGCGGCCTTCAGCCGCGCTTAGGGATTATAACCCTCACTTAGTAGAATTCTCCTTTCTGTGTTGCCGGAGAAGAGAGGCGGAACACCTTTTTCAGAGAACACCTTTCAGCGTAGGAGGCCTTCGGCCGCGCTTTGGCATTTAATTCTCTTTAATTTGATGTACATATAATATATATGCCTTGTATAGTTTTCACAAAAAATGAATTAATGTAAAAAATTTGTATAAACCCATTTTTTCAAATCGCCTTTTTAGTTATACGCAAATGGCCGCGCTTAGGGATTATAACCTTTACTTAGTAGATTTCTTCGTTCTGTGTTGCCGGAGAAGAGAGGCGGAACACCTTTTCCATAGAACACTTTTTCCAGAGAACACCTTTCTGCGTAGGCGGCCTTGGCCGCGCTTTGGGATTATAACCTTTACTAATTTGATTTCACCTTTCTGTGTAAAGTAAGGACTATTGACTACATACTATGCATCAAATGATTGCTTATAAATTTTCTATATATTTCCAGAAATTTTTAGTATAACTAATAAGGTGATTAAAAAAATGGGTTTGTAAGAATGTTTTAAATTATTTTTTACATAAATTCGATTTTTGTGAAAACTATACAAGGCGGATACAACACATGTACATCAAATTAAAGAGAAAAAAATTATCTATCGAATGACAATATTTTAAAATCCATGAAAGTGTTTTTGAAAATTTTTGATTTAAAAAAAAAACCTTAGTTTAAGCTTTTAGCGTTATTAACCTTTTGTGGTTGTTGTTTCCCCAACAAAAAAGAAATTCCGCTACGCTGACCTCAATGAACTCTATCGATCCCCGCATACTTTTTTTTTAATTGGAAAATTTTAGGTATTCTCTATTTATGCCTTTTTTCTGAAAACCAGTTACAAATACAATGTCGCGTTCTTGCGTGATCTTTTATTTTTTGCTAATGTAGGATAATCGCATGGTAAAAATATTTAAAGGAAAAAGCGCTCGCTCAATTCATTGGCCATCATTTATTTTTGAAAGTTTGTCTACTATGTAAAATTGAAATTTTGAAAGCAACTCAAATGCCTCTTTCAGTTGAGGTTGTAAATGAGATTTAATGTTTATGAGACTTAGAATTAGAAAACATTTTTGTTAACATACAGGCTGCATTTCTTTATTCATTCTGAATGTTTGGAATAAACTTTTTTGTTTACTTATTCTTTAGAACGTTCCTGATGATATGTTAACGTATATTTCAAACGCATTCTGTTTATTCCGGCTGTGAAATGGGATTATCCGGAATGTATAAAAAAACGTAGCCACAAACTTTAAAAATGTTCAGGCTGCCTCTTACCCCACGTCTCCTTTTTCTACTATATGTGTCTTAACATCTGTCAAATTTATGTTTTAACTTTGTCCCGTTTTCTCGTGTGGGCCACTTGCAGTCTTAACATGTCACTTTCAAAATGGCATCAAGCCAATCAGATCGATCTGTACCCAAAGTAGATGCGCGGTAAAATGAAAACTGAGTTGTCAACTACGAAATGACAGCTGATGTTAAGGCATCGTGGTAAGAAATTCGGCAAGATAGATATGGTTTGAAAGTGGAAATTTGCGGTCTCCACCTGACATTTCTTTCTTAAAGCAGCTTTTTTAACAGAATCTGAGAAGGTGGAGACGTGGGGTTAGCGGTTTTACCTTAAAATTAATAGTTGCGTGCCAGCAGCAGTACGAATAGCAGGAATTTACAGGATTTTACAGGAAGCTGTTCCTGCACGACACCTTACATAAGGCTTATTAATGGCGAAAACAGCTGTTCCTGTAAATCCTGTAAAATCCTGCAAAACCTGCTATTCGTACCGCTGCTGGAACGCAACTTTTCTTTGATGGAATAATCCTAACTTAGGGTTTACACCAGACAATATTGTCAAGACAATTAAGTCAAAATGATGTGTTTGTTGTAAACACGGCGAATTCATATTACAACAAACACATCATACTGACATAATTGTTTTGACAATATTGGTCGTTGTAAACCCTAAGTAACTGCCATACCTAAACAAAAGCGTCAACGTTGTCCGGCTGTCAAAAAATTCTCATGCCCATACAATTCGTATGAAGCATACCGAAACAACGCTGCGTCAACGCTGAGCGGTTGGAAAATCAGATTTTGACAGGGCGTTAGGTATTGAAGTTGGCTGCAGATAACGGCGAAACTGTCATTTTCGTGTTACAAACAAACAAACCTATGCTTATTGTTGGTGTTTTTTCTGCATTTGACGTAGCTTTGACGCTTTTGTTTAGGTATGGCACTTCGGCGCTAACGCTAGGCGTCAGAAACCGCTCCGCACAACGCTTTTGTTTAGGTATGGCAGTAACAGAATCATGAGAGTACCAAGCTAGGTGTGAATCAAGAATGATAGAATACAAGATTGCGCCGTCCTGCGCGTTGACATTTGTGTACCACAAGTAAACAAAGAATAGAGCGAAAAGAAGAACGAGTTGAAACTGCCAAAACAGTTCACCTTACAGCGAAAAACGTGTTTTAATTTTGCTAAATGCGAAAATATTGCATTTTTACCTAACCTATTAGAGAATAGGTAACATTTTAGTGCACTCCATTGCTTTGCAATTCAGGCTGCTGCACAAAACTGCGGCAGCATCTCAGCGGGATTGATTAGTTAACTTGCTAATGGGGGCTGTTTGGAGCAGAAGCAAAATCATTGTGAGGAAATGCTGTTATTGTAATAATAAAGAAACATTTCGGGAATGGCTTTGCCGTGCCCTATGTACACAAAATGCAGCGATTCGTCCAAGCGCTACACTTGCATCTACGCATCTTGCATCTTGATGGCTGTCGCAATTTAACACACAGCACTTCTTTTTATTCGATTTTACGCAGTCTTCAACTCAAAAATCACTCACAAATTGCAAATTAACACAATTTAAACTGATTTTTCACTTCTAATTCAAATGATTTTTTCGCATACTTGTAAACAAAGGTTTATTTACAAGTTACCACAACTGTCAAAATCGGCAAAACCAAAGTAGCGGTACCACTGACGGCGCCACCTTTGTTCGCTGCACCGTGGGTGTGAATACCTCTCATAATTTTAAAACATTGGCAGCACCGTTTTTAATCTGTCAAAGCGATTAAGGGCCGGTTGTTCAATGTCTGGTTATCACTACCACTACACTATCGACGATTTCAACATCATGCATGTAACATGTGATCGATAAAGCAGTAGTTGTGCTTAACCGGAGCTTCTACCTCCGATTTGTGCTAATCAGACATTGAACAACCGGCCCTAAGGCAAGTTCGTGTGTTTGCTTTTAGGGCACTGTCACACGGTCAGTATTTATTGACGTGATCCAAGTATCGCGGTATTTATTGACGGTGTTGCATGCAGTATTGATGGATCGTGATCCATACTGCAAAATTTCTAAGGCTGCGTTTCTTTATACATTCCGGATAATCCCATTTCACTGCCGGAATAAACAGAATGCGTTTGAAATATACGTCACCATATCATCAGGTACGTTCTAAAGAATAAATAAACAAAAAAGTTTATTCCAAACGTTAAGAATGAATAAAGAAATGCAGCCTAAAAATTTTGAAATCTGGATCGCGGATCGCAATACCATCAATGAATATTGAACGTGTAGCACTTTCAAATCGCGATCCATACATTTCGTCAGTACATCTTTTACTCTCATAATGCGAACATCGGCTCTGCCTTCGCTCTCGGGGCTTAAAATCTTGCAAAACAAGTTTTAATTAACATTGAAAATTTTAAAATAATTGTGGAATGCATTATCTGTAAATTATACGTACAACATAAAAACATTTTCTTGCGTCATAATAAGCTTTCAGCACAAAAATTATGCAAATACTGACGCGACAAATATTGAACATGTAGCATTCGTGCGCGATCCATCAATCCATCAATATGGATCGCGATCCAAATATCGTGATTATTACTGACCGTGTGACAGACCCCTTAGCAAGAAAATTTTCTTCAGTGGATAAAACAAAACATTCAAATGGGATATGTAGATTAGTGATATAGATAAGCTTGCATTAATTAGCAAAATTAATTTACTAGTCTCGCTATTGAATGGATGCAACAGTTTTTAAAAATTGTGAGGATGAATTTCATCAAATTATTGGTGTGGTTAATTTCGAACAATTTGGTCAAGGTTTTTAATAAAAGATGAAACAGAGTGGTCATATTTGTTGGGCTGATCTCAAATAGATATGGCTGCAAAGGCAATGACAGCGACAACGATGTGGCTTGAATTCCAACGCCACTTCCGATCCTGATCTCGTTATTTGTGTAAGTGAACCCATTTCGCAAATCCGAATACACAATGCGACCAAACATTTCTTAAAAAGTCAACAGCGTCCCTATTGTGAAAGCCAAAGTGATAGTATTCCTATTATCAACACGTCTTCGGTTCTCTCAGCTAATATTTCAACGGAGAACAATATGATTCCTACAATAAACGTAACGCCTCATAGTCCGGCTTCAATAACAAAATATAACAATATTTTCGAGGATACGTTGAGCCAATTGCAAAATATACGGGAAACTGTAGTACAAATGAAAAATTGTGCTCACATGAATGATAGTTTCAATAGTTTTGGACCCGTTAATGCTGCAGTCCTAAGCGCCTCTCTACCTAATCTTAATGCCGCAAATATTACGGTCAATGTAACAAATACTATCGGTAATTGTGTAAGGTGGATGCCACAACAGCAACAATACATTCCTTTGAATGGGCGTCGTAGGTCTTGGACAATTATTGATGACCTGAATATAACAAACAAGAGCATCAGTCTATCCAGCTTAGATAGTGAAGAGCCGGAGACAATATGTGCTACAGATCAGCGCCGACGATCTGCTAGAAAAAGCACTGGAGGTAAGTTCATTTAGTACATATGCATGAACGAAAGACACAAGATCACGCGGGAAGGAAAGAACGAAACAAGTTATTTTCTAGCTGCCGAAATCTCGACGCCATCTTTGTTGTAAGAAGTAAACAACGAAGAGAACGGAGAAAACCGCGAAATTGTTGAACGCATGAATAATCATTTTTATTATGCAAATTCTTCTATAAATCATGCCGTTGTGTTAAATTATTCTTTTCCTTATTTGTACACACGTTGTCACAGGCGAAAATGCTGTAATTGCTGTAAAAGGCCACCACCAAATTGTAAACAATGAAGAAATGTAAACAAACGGCTATTGTCAAAATCGTTAAACTTTTTTCCTAAATGCGATTCTAAAGCTGAAATTAGTCAAGAACGTAAACCTACCGGTACGTAAACCCGAGTCAGCACCGCAGAATTTTTCTGTAGTTGTAGCCCGTAGCGCAGAAATCTGCGGAATTTAGATTTTTCCGTGTCAGCTGATTTCTCCTTCTTTAGATGGTTGCCACTTCGTCTTTTTACAGATGGAAAAAAAAATATGAGTTCCTACTCAAAATATGTTTAAAATATTTGAAATTTACTATTGAATAAGGTTTTTGTTGAAAACTAAGTAGTTTATATTTAGCTAAAATCTATTATAGCGAAAAATTGTAGTTGAAAGGGTAAGTTTATGAAAAGGCATTGAACAGTGGCAGCAGTGTAGTAAACAACACTGAGGGCTCCAGTAATCGACAAAATTCTGTGTATACAGACTGCGTTTAAGTATACGTTCTGCGTTCTCGACTAATTTCAGCTTAACGGGCTACTCTCCTGCCCGCGTTATGTTGAGGTTGCTTAATGAACCTCTGGACTTCGTCCGTCAGTTCATATAGATGCCTCCTGACGTGCCCGCGTGATGTTGTATTTTGGTTCTGGGCTGCCAACTTTACTCAAACCGTGCAATTTTTGAGCATACTTTACATCAAATGCAAATGCAATGCAGCGATTTCTTTTCTCAAGTTACATACCTGATGACAGTACGAATGGCAATTATAATAGGGAGGTTTACCCCTCTATTCTAACAGTCACAAAACTTAGCTCATCACTGTTGTGATTTCTAGTGCGCCGAGAAATGTGTCACAAAAAATTAGATTTTGAGTGCTGAAAAATACACAAAAATTTAAAAATTTGTATTGTAGCGGCATATTTTTTGTAGCGGCAAGCTTTGAGGCGCAGCAGAAATCACAGCAGTGATGAGCTCAAGTTAGTGACTTTGTTAGAATACGGCTGTTAGTTTTTAAAACTATAATTTTATTCAATTTTTCACTTTTGAAAAATAGTAACATTTCAATACATTTTTGTGAAATCCTTTGCGTGTACTCTTTTCTCGGCTGGGATTTCCATTACGGAACCAGTAGCTATATCATTTAAAGTATACCGATTTTTTTTTTTTATAAAGGTTTTATAAAGGGGATATTTATGGAGGTCTTCTTCAACTGAAGTTATCACTTTCACAATGCTGCTGATAATAATATTTAAGTAATTTGTTGTTAAAATACCCCGACTACTATCACAAATTTTTAATTTAAAACCCCACTTTTCATTTAAATAATGTTCGGATGCGTTTGTAATACTTTCATTTACATTCATTCATTAATTGATTAAGTAAAACNAAAAATTGTAGTTGAAAGGGTAAGTTTATGAAAAGGCATTGAACAGTGGCAGCAGTGTAGTAAACAACACTGAGGGCTCCAGTAATCGACAAAATTCTGTGTATACAGACTGCGTTTAAGTATACGTTCTGCGTTCTCGACTAATTTCAGCTTAACGGGCTACTCTCCTGCCCGCGTTATGTTGAGGTTGCTTAATGAACCTCTGGACTTCGTCCGTCAGTTCATATAGATGCCTCCTGACGTGCCCGCGTGATGTTGTATTTTGGTTCTGGGCTGCCAACTTTACTCAAACCGTGCAATTTTTGAGCATACTTTACATCAAATGCAAATGCAATGCAGCGATTTCTTTTCTCAAGTTACATACCTGATGACAGTACGAATGGCAATTATAATAGGGAGGTTTACCCCTCTATTCTAACAGTCACAAAACTTAGCTCATCACTGTTGTGATTTCTAGTGCGCCGAGAAATGTGTCACAAAAAATTAGATTTTGAGTGCTGAAAAATACACAAAAATTTAAAAATTTGTATTGTAGCGGCATATTTTTTGTAGCGGCAAGCTTTGAGGCGCAGCAGAAATCACAGCAGTGATGAGCTCAAGTTAGTGACTTTGTTAGAATACGGCTGTTAGTTTTTAAAACTATAATTTTATTCAATTTTTCACTTTTGAAAAATAGTAACATTTCAATACATTTTTGTGAAATCCTTTGCGTGTACTCTTTTCTCGGCTGGGATTTCCATTACGGAACCAGTAGCTATATCATTTAAAGTATACCGATTTTTTTTTTTTATAAAGGTTTTATAAAGGGGATATTTATGGAGGTCTTCTTCAACTGAAGTTATCACTTTCACAATGCTGCTGATAATAATATTTAAGTAATTTGTTGTTAAAATACCCCGACTACTATCACAAATTTTTAATTTAAAACCCCACTTTTCATTTAAATAATGTTCGGATGCGTTTGTAATACTTTCATTTACATTCATTCATTAATTGATTAAGTAAAACGCGTATATTATTATTATTTCTTTATTTAGCATTAGCAATTTTTAAACTTTCAGGTACATTTTTACATATACAGTGACGAGCAAAACTGTAACATGGTGTAACACTTTTTATTTCAGCCGCCGCTTTCTTTCCAAGTTCTAACGATATTCATACTTTTGTTGTATATTCTTATTGGTACACCTGTACTTCCTAGCTCATAACGATCTGAAGTCAATCCAAAATCAATAATAAAACCAGCAGACAAAAATGTAAATTAAGGCAAATGTTACAGCTTTGCACTTAAATACTTTTAATAACTTTTTTACAACTTTCACGAAAAAAAGAATTCTTAACACAATTTTCAGTACCCTTTTGCTTTTTTTAGTTCCTGGGTGCGATTTGGCATACCTTATTTGTATCTCTGTAAAAATTCTGGAGGTATATCCTCCCATAAATCCTTAGTTTGCTTTCACAGCTTAATACTCCATTGGACGGACTTGGATACTTAGTAAGCTGTGCTTTAAGTTGATTTCGCAAATTTTCGATAAGATTCATTTCCGCGGATTGTGGAGGTCATTTCAAATTAGCAAATTTTTGCTTTTGTATCCAGTCTTTGCCAACATGCGCAGTGTGTTTTGGGGAATTTTTCAGCGGAAACCCATTTTTTCGACTACATCTTGCANCTTTTCTCGGCTGGGATTTCCATTACGGAACCAGTAGCTATATCATTTAAAGTATACCGATTTTTTTTTTTTATAAAGGTTTTATAAAGGGGATATTTATGGAGGTCTTCTTCAACTGAAGTTATCACTTTCACAATGCTGCTGATAATAATATTTAAGTAATTTGTTGTTAAAATACCCCGACTACTATCACAAATTTTTAATTTAAAACCCCACTTTTCATTTAAATAATGTTCGGATGCGTTTGTAATACTTTCATTTACATTCATTCATTAATTGATTAAGTAAAACGCGTATATTATTATTATTTCTTTATTTAGCATTAGCAATTTTTAAACTTTCAGGTACATTTTTACATATACAGTGACGAGCAAAACTGTAACATGGTGTAACACTTTTTATTTCAGCCGCCGCTTTCTTTCCAAGTTCTAACGATATTCATACTTTTGTTGTATATTCTTATTGGTACACCTGTACTTCCTAGCTCATAACGATCTGAAGTCAATCCAACATCAATAATAAAACCAGCAGACAAAAATGTAAATTAAGGCAAATGTTACAGCTTTGCACTTAAATACTTTTAATAACTTTTTTACAACTTTCACGAAAAAAAGAATTCTTAACACAATTTTCAGTACCCTTTTGCTTTTTTTAGTTCCTGGGTGCGATTTGGCATACCTTATTTGTATCTCTGTAAAAATTCTGGAGGTATATCCTCCCATAAATCCTTAGTTTGCTTTCACAGCTTAATACTCCATTGGACGGACTTGGATACTTAGTAAGCTGTGCTTTAAGTTGATTTCGCAAATTTTCGATAAGATTCATTTCCGCGGATTGTGGAGGTCATTTCAAATTAGCAAATTTTTGCTTTTGTATCCAGTCTTTGCCAACATGCGCAGTGTGTTTTGGGGAATTTTTCAGCGGAAACCCATTTTTTCGACTACATCTTGCATATTTTGTTGAAATATGAACAGATAGTGTTCCTTACGCATAATGCGTACTAACGAACCAACAAAATTTTTGAAATACAACCTCTAAACTATTATTGACCGACCACTGTGATTCACAGTTTGCCTTACATCATGCGCATGGGCTTAATTTGGGTGTTTGATCCAATACCATGCCCGGCCATCTGATTGAAAGCAATTAATTTAGTATTGTCAGACCAAATAACCTTCAATTGAAACTCAAACATTTTTTTATTGCATTCTGAAAGGCCTAACATATCCCAATAAGGAACGGTCCGGTTTTCGTGCGATGTAGCAAAATGCTGCCACTTTCGCACATGTATTTTGATCAAATTTGCTTTTTTCTTCTTTTATGATGCCTTTGCGCTCAACTTGGCAATTCTTCCCTTCGTTGTCTACATTTGCATTAAAGTTTAATGCCTTAAGCGCTTCTGTAATAGTTGCTGCATCGCTACTTGTTGCTAAGTTCACAAGATATCGGACGGTAATATTTTTTGCAGACGTCCTTTGTGCTTGGGAACACTTTAGGCTATATTTTTTCACAGTCTTACAATTTTCAAGTAGTAAACTTCCACTTTTCCTGCCGTCCCGCTTTTCCACAGTAAATCTATTATTTACATTTATGGTTCCCGATTAACCATATTATTTACTGGTGATCACTTCTTCAATAAATTATAATACAGAAAAAAGTCATCGGACTTCCAACTAAGTAAAAGATAACTGTAAAATGCAAAACTGAGAGTGAGTGCAAAACTGTAACATTCGCCTTAATTTACATTTTTGTCTGCTGGTTTTTTTATTGTTGTTGTATGTATGTTGTTGTTATTGTTGAAATCGTTATGAGAGAGGGAGTAGGGGTGCACCCACAAGAATATACAACAAAAGAATGAAAGTCGTTAGAACTTGGAAATATAGCGGTGCCTGAAATAAAAAGTGTTAAACCATGTTACAGTTTTGCTCGT